TCCATGACAAATAATGATAACAGTAATGTAATACACAAATACATTGATGATTTCGTATTCCATGATAAATAATGATAACAGTAATTTGACACAAATGTATTGATGATTTCGTATTCCATGACAAATAATGATAACAGTAATGTAACACACAAACACATTTATGATTTCGTATTCCATGACAAATAATGATAACAGTAATGTAACACACAAATACATTGACGATTTCGTATTCCATGACATATAATGATAACAGTAATTTGACACAAATGTATTGATGATTTCGTATTCCATGACAAATAATGATAACAGTAATTTGACACAAATGTATTGATGATTTCGTATACATGACAAATAATGATAACAGTGATGTAACACACAAATACATTGATGATTTCGTATTCCATGACAAATAATGATAACATTAATGTAACACACAAATACATTGATGATTTCGTATTCCATGACAAATAATGATAACAGTAATTTGATACAAATGTATTGATGATTTTGTATTCCATGACAAATAATGATAACAGGAATGTAACACACAAATACATTGATGATTTCGTATTACATGACAAATAATGATAACAGTAATATAACACACAAATACATTGAGGATTTCGTTTTCCATGACAAATAATGATAACAGTAATTTGACACAAATGTATTGATGATTTTGTATGCATGACAAATAATGAAAACAGTAATGTAACACACAAATACATTGATGATTTCGTATTCCATGACAAATAATGATAACAGTAATTTGATACAAATGTATTGATGATTTCGTATTCCATGACAAATAATGAAAACAGTAATGTAACACACAAATACATTGATGATTTCGTATTCCATGACAAATAATGAAAACAGTAATGTAACACACAATTACATTGATGATTTCGTATTCCATGACAAATAATGAAAACAGTAATGCAACACACAAATACGTTGATGATTTCGTATTCCATGAAAGATCAGTAACTCTTATGATCTACAAAGTGATTTGACAAACGTGTGAACCCAAATTAATGTCATTTTAAGAAAAATAAGGCGCTAAAACAACATCACCTAAGATGAATTGCATTGTACGGCAACACTATATTATTGGTCTCGAACCGAACAATACTACGCATTGCTGTTTAGACAAGATCTTACCTTCGCAGTGATTACCATTATACGATACATATCCTAAGTAGCAATCACAAATGTAACTTCCAACTGTATTTATACACTCCTGCTCACAGAAGATTCCATTATCATTTAGTTCTCAGAACATTCGTCAATATCTTAGAAAAGAAGAAAATGAAAAAGAGTGTGGAATACTACGATGTATATCAGACCTCTCATGGTGTTTGCTTATATATTCCACTAGATGGGCAAACAATAAGAATATGTTATGTAATGCAATATTTAGATTATTGTACATACCATAGCATTTTTTACCATCGCCTGAAAGTCCATACGGACATCCCTCACATACAGCACCAATACCTGGAGCCTCGACATCAGTACATTTAACACCAGGGAAACATGGGTCATCCAAGCAACCATCAGTATCAGTTTCACAGAACCAACCAGTGTATGCTTCAGGACAACTGCACGCTACAACCTGAAAAGTTAATTTGAAAACAAGTATATATATGGTATTTATTTACTATAATCCTCTTCGACCTACAGCTAAAAAAAAGAAAATGTGTATTTGTCTTAACTATATCATTTCTGCCTCCAAAGATATTAAACTTCAATAAGTAGTATTATGCGAGTTTGTGTGTATTATAACATCAAGGAGATAATGTTTAATCATACCTTAAACTTTGAATTCACGGTATTACTACTTATGTCACTAGTGTCAAAGAGGCACGTTCCATTATTCTTACAATCACATATCTGCACCACTGGTTTGTATGCTGAGACTGCATTGCCATCTGATGCTTCAACCTGGAAGACTATTTGGGATGTGTTTACCGGGGTCCAGGTAATAATTCCGGCTGCAATGCATACAAATAATAAATCAGTTGTGAAATGCTTGAAATCTTCAAATCATTTGAGCTGTGCAGTTGTTGTTGTCCAATATACACGCCTGTCTTCCTTTCGACTATCTTTCACTCTTGTTTTCTCGCAAACACACCCATGAAAAACAAAGTTATGAAACGAACGCAAAAGTAATGTACCTAATATGAGAACCCAAAAAAACAGCGAGTTTGGTTGTAAATACTCTTTGTCTTAAGTTTGGTGGTACCCAACGAGGTATTCATATACAAGGAATGTTTGCACACAAAAACATTGAATGTGATTGAATTTTGTTAGCAGGTTAATGGTAACCCAATGCTTTGTTTAGCTGGATTTATTCACTTTTTTGTTGGAATATGGATATGGCAATTCATATCATTCACTATATATATCGGTACATTAATTCCATTTACAATATTACCACTTCTACTGCATTCAAACATGAGATTTTCTCTGTTCATATGATCAACTTACACTCTTCCCCAATCTCAGCGCCACCTATTTCTTCTAGAAACTTAAACTTCACTGAATCTCCATTGGGGTCTTCTGCAGTCAGTTCTATTGTTGTAGGTTTATTGACTTCTACTCTCAATACGTCCTCTCCATTCACACGAGGTGGATAGTTTTCTGTTGAGTAATAGTTATTGTATTAATTACAAAAATATGCGGCAAAAAAAATTGTCACCATTGTCCCTTGAAAGTTAATATGAAACTCAAGTAATATTAATAATTATTATCGAGTATATGACTCAAACACGCAACATGGTATACCTAGCTTTGATGCATTGTCTTCAAAATTGTCTGAATTTGTTTTAGTATTCAGTCCAATCTCCATTGCCCTGGTAGCCAACGTGTCATAGACGCAATCTATGTTATTTTCACATGCAATGCGTGTCATGTTTAGAAAGTCTTTATCTTTTTCTTCAAACTCATCTATTAACTCATCAATGAAGTATGGAGTGAAATCTGGATAATTGAACAATTCCCAGGACTCATCGACACGATATGTAAATAATGATGATTCATTAGTTACCATCCCTGCAAAAAAAATTGTACTTTTCGTTGCTTATGCGGAAGGGATGGTCGATGTATTACATTGTGGCGGCGGCACAGGGGGACAGAGGGCGAGGAATTGGCCCTCAAAAAAATTTGGGGCGGCGGCACCCCTCTAAAATCAAGCTGAAACTCTTTGTGGCAGCAAAATGTGTCCCTCAAAATGCAGGGAAAGAAAAATAGCAGAGGGTCTATATTTCCAAATGTTTAAGGGGAGCATGCCTCCGGCCCCAAGCACAATTTGGTGCTGCCGCTTTTGGATAAGCTGTATTCATATTAGGAACGCTATGAAAAAATGAACATCGTCTACTCACATGTTTGGCCACACTCAAACTGTTGTCGGTCAGTGATGCTTCCATCTGAGGACACCACTACTGTACCGTTTCTCATAGTGAAGTCATCATTTGTATTATTGTTCCATGTACCTATGAAATACAGTAGCACATTTGAAAGATACACCAGCAAGGAAATGGTTGATTTAATTAATAAAATGGAATTCACAAACTACATATGATACTTATGACAGATGTAGATGTTTACTGTCCATTCATTCATTCGCACCATCCACAATAAATAGTTTAATTAATATAGCCCAGAAGATACTGTGTGGGTAGATGTACATACTCGATTGTTAAGTACATTAGTCTTTCTTGGAAATTAAACATTCAATACATACCGAGAAGTCCTTGTGTTTTTCCCTTGAATGATGTCGGCGTACTGACAACAATATCCAATATTCCACTTAACTTAGCCACAGAGAATGACAAACCAGATGAAAATATTGCAACTATTCTTGTAGTGTCACTACTATCTTCTTTTAGTCTCAGTTTGACATTAACCATATCATCACTGTAAAAATCTGTAATGGTGTAAGTTATTATAAGTTCAAATAACAGTCGCTCGTAAAATTGCTACGTAGTTATATTTGGTTTTTAAACAGATCTACAGTCGCATTCTTGTACTTTCCGTTCCATTCTATTACAGCAGAAAATATCACATCTTATAAACAAAATTCTACAACTAAAAATGTATGTACATGTTGATTGGTGTGTCCTAGTTGTGTAGATAATAAATCGCTTACCTTCGTCCAGAACTGATATGTTCAACATCTTTCCATTGATAAATATTTCAATCTCACGTTGTGTTTGATTCGCTTCTGTGCTGTCCAGTTTAGACAATCTAATTTCCACCTTTATATATTGAACACAAGTACATTTTGACTATATATTATCGTACTATGCAGAGGCATTGTGACAAATATTGTATTTCAACAAGCTAACATAGCGTGTAAGTCGAGAACATTTTAAACTATTATTGTTTGCATCTGTCCTTTGTTTAAGATGGTACTGTGCAAGGGAAGCAAAAATATTGTTTCGAGCAATAATATACGTTATCATAGTGTATGTGCAACTACATTCGCACGGAAGTCCCAAATACACAAATAGTTCATGTGAGAATTACTCAACATAGATACAAGATAGATAAAAAAAATACACGGATTTAAAATGTTTCGCAAAATATTGTCGCGGATGTTACATTTGTTCAAATAATAAATTGTAATACGCGGCGAGAGTGTTTAAAATAGACAATTAACCTCAGTAAATACCTTGCTGGAATCATTTTGTTGGGCAGCAAACCCTGTGAATACTGTTGCAAAGGTTTCTGATCCATTGTTAAACCTGGCTCTTTCAGTTCTTGCCTGTAGTTCAAACCGGTTGCCCTCAATTTCTAGCAATGTATATTCTCCTTGACCATTGAAAGAATACGAAACTCCATCAAGAGTTTTTAGATGCGGATCGCCAAACATCCAACCTTAAACAAATGCATGTATGTCAATATAAATATACATGTACTTATCCAGTCATAATTTAAATCGTTATTATAAACGAGTGTGCTTACCAGAACTCGGAGGTATATATCCTTCACATTTCCCAGCAGGCCTTTTCTCTGCATACATCTCACAGAATGCTGGGTCATTGGACATACTGCAACAATAGTATCGAGGTAATAAATCATCATCTGAAAGATATAATAGAAAACGTCTAATATAATATTTTACCTCATAGCCCTATTAGCTAGATTCACGCAATTAGCGTTGATTAGATTTGCATATTGACTTATCAGCGGCTTCTGCGCTTGCGCATACTTTACGATCGATCTACGAAACGCTGATTCAACATTGTACTTTGTCGGGGTTTTCACCTGAAATTATGTAAGATTGAGATAATCATTAAAAATACCGTGGCGGCTACAAAGTTAGGTCGGTCTTATCGTAGTCGCTGAACCGTAGCTAGCGCTTTTGAATTTCCGCACGGTGTTCCCGTATGGATGTGATGACGTCGTATACCGACGTACAGTGCTTTTATTACCTCTTCAAGATAATTTTATTACTCATTGTGTTATGTAAATTGTTCATTTAAACGGAAATGTGTTGTCATATTTCATTTTATTTATGTCGGAGTGACCCCAGTGTCGTGTGCTGTTTTTGTCTTGTGTGCGCGTCATGTACAGTAAAACCTGTCAAAACCGACCCCTGGGTAAACCGACCATT